TTTCCGTCGAATACAAATTTTTCTGCCCAAATTCTGCAGAAAACACGATGGAAAATAGAGCGATCTCATTGGTCGAGAGCTCACGTGACAACTCGCTAATTGCTTGTCCGACCTCCTCTGGTCACGTGTCTCCCAGACCGCAAATGCAATCCACAAAGAATACATATACAAAGACATCTCACCCACTGATTTTGCAACACAAGCTGTTGCTATTCATTAAAATTAGATGTATTTGTTAAAGTGCCTACATCACTTGTGGGACTTTTATGGATTTGGAAAGAGATTAGAAAGTTCGTCAATACGTTCTAAAGCCTTTTTTGATTTTAGTGCAATAGTTTTGAGGATATAGGCCTTTAAACAACGAACTGTTCCGGAGTCCCAGCCTCCTGGGGTCTAAACACGGCTATTGAATTTGGCCTTTTTCGAAACTGTCCATTGTGCACAGGAGCCTGGGACTCAGGAACTGTAGGTAGTTTAGAGGCTTGTATCTTCGAAATTATTGCATTTAATCAAAAAAAGCTTTTGAACTTATTAACTAACTTTTTACGCTCTTTTAAAATCCGTAAAAGTCCCACAAGTGATATAGACACTTTAAATAAATTACACCCACTTTAGATAGATAGATAGATAGATTGATTTAACCACGCTAACCTCGTCAACTACAGCTGATTTCCACGAGGGGCGTGTGAACAAGAAGTATACAGCAAATATGAAAAGTATTTAAAAGCTATTTACAAAGTAGAAAACATAGTATAAAATATATTAAGTATATGAGATAATAATGTATTTACAGATGCATATCTTTGCTTTAATTATCAATGTGAGCAGCGATTTTCGTCCGAAATGAAGAAAGGGATTTGCTCTCTTTAATTTCCTTTGGAATAGAATTCCAAAGGAATGAACCATCGTACATAAACATTTTTTCAAATTATTAGTCCGCGGTTGCGGTAAACAAAGAGTACTTGAAACGTTTCGAAGATTATAGCTAGTCATCTCACTTTTATAAGTGAATAAGTTAGTGAGTGATTGAGGGCCCATGTTATTTAATAATTTGTACATCATTTTTGCCTTGGCTTTCTTCCTTTCTAATTGAAGTGTCTTCCAGCCCAATGCTTGCAATGCTACAGAATGATCTGTGTCATTGCTCATATTCATGATAATTCGAGCAGCTCTATTTTGGAGTTTTTGAAGTCGTTTTGATTGTGTTTCACCGAACACATCCCATACTTCACAGCAGTAATCGAAGTACGGGCGAACAATAGCATTATAAACGGAAAGAAGCGTTTGCCTGTCAACAAAATCCTTTAAACGTCTAAGAGCAGAAATTCCTGATGTTATTTTCCTGCAAATATTTTCAGTGTTACTTTTCCACGACAAATGCTGGTCGACTGTCACACCAAGAGTTTTGCACTCATGCACTTGTTTAATCTGTTTGTTTTCAATTACCACATTTGGCTGCAAATTTGAAACGCTTTTAATCATTTGTTTTGAGCCAATTAACATAAATTCAGTTTTTGCAACATTGAGGCTAAGTTTATTGGCAATTAGCCATTTTCTTAGGTTTTCTAAATCAGAATTCACTGCAGCTTCAAGACGAGTTATCGAGTCGCCAGAAGCTGTCAGGTTTGTGTCATCAGCAAATAACCGAGGGTTTGAACTTTATCGAATTGATATCGGCAACTAGATCGGTAAACCAAACTTAGCCCTCCACTCTTTTGTAAAAATTTTATTATCTCCCAAAATCTGGGAGACACGTGACCAGCCTGGACCAGGGGCTTTCCTCCAGCGAGGAGAGTAGTGGAACGAGCCTGGGTACAAGGTTGCGGGGGTTTTACACAAGGGCGGATTTTCATATTTTTCTCTGGGGGGTGCAAAAAATTCAGGGGGGATGGTGATCAGATCATGTGCAGGGGCGGATCCAGGGTTTTCGACCGGTTTACTAGGTTCACCCAACTAATAGGGGGTCCGGGGGCATGCCCCCGGACAATTTAAAATTTGGGGCTCTGAAACAGCATTTCCTGCGTTCTGGCGTCACTTTTAAAATTAATTTAATGATTACAAAATGCATGTTTTTAAGTCAATTTTTGACTAATACGCAGCTCAAACAATGAATTGAACAAATAAACCTTTTCCAAAGCGTATTATTTAGCTAGTGCCTAGTGATAAAAATATAGGATCCGCTAATTGCTGACACATCGATTTAGATCTACACGCTTTCAATCCAACTCTAACGACGAACTAAAAACCAAACTGCAAGAGCGTGAAAGCTTCGCAATCATTTCCTGATTCTCAATCGCCAAAGCAATGATCAGTGGGTCTAAATACGCTCGGTAGTTCATAATCAAATTTCAATAATAGATTAGACAACATCAATTTTATGAAACATAATATTCTTTAAATCAGTTATATACATGGAAGGTTATAGATTTTCTTTCTTTGGAAAATCTGACAGGTTTATGTAAACCTGTCAAACCTGTCTGAATCCGCCCCTTATGTGAATGTGCGAACGCGTGGTGCCGATGAGCATGTGAACATATTTTTTGTAAGTGTGTTTTACTTTTGCGTTAATTTGCTGCAAAAAAGCGTATATAGAAACATGTTAATTTTAATATTTCTATCTTACTTAACGGTAGTTTAATTTAGTGCATTTAAATTTTGGCAGGGACAGGGGGTGTACATTTTTGTTGGGGGGGGGGGG